ACAGACAGTACTCAAGTGCCTTCCAGCAGGAGTTGAATTATTTTCGTTGAGATTTTGAAGAGTGAACCCTCTAACAGGCTTGGCCTTTTACAGCATAAGTGTGGATCTCAACGGGGTAGCAGGTGTATTATGACAGCCCAGCAGGACCAAAAGTAGTATGGACCCAAAGCTCAGCCAAAGGTTACCAGACATACCACCTACCCTTCTTTGCTCTACCACCCTCCACCCTTCTTTGTATCTCTCTGGATGAATTCCTAGCCCATGTCCCCAAATGCCTTCTATCTTCCGGGAGAGAGCAGCAGTTAGGGAACTGAGGCAGTGTCTACCTTTGCTGATTCCAGAGGCAGAGATGAGGAAGGCGGTCATATAAGTAACCAGGATGAACTAAGCTCCTAAGGAGCATGCCCCATGAAGGTCCCTTTGAGAGTGCCAAGCCCTGGTCTGGGGGTGGCCTTGGCCTGTAACACAGATAAGAAGGTTTCACAGGAACTATCCTTGCTCATATAATACTGCCTCTGCACCCAAAAAGAACTCAAAATTGCAGCCACATTTACTGTCAGCCACAAGACATCCTGAATGTGACTTTACCGAGGTTCTCTTGAAGTCTCCACTGCCTATTTGTGTGCTTCTAGAAACACAGTCAGAATGGGCATGAGAAAGGGGCTAAAAACAACTTAAAGAATATACCCTGCCATTGTTCAAAGCTAAGAACAGCAAATAGTATTCAAGTTTGCGCAACTCATTCTCACATCATCTGTTATAATAAAGATGGGACAAGTATGCCTACCCCCCATTCTGCAAATAGAGACTTGGATCTAGAGGAGGTAAAATGATGTAGCAACATCAGTGCACATTAAGTAGAGGGAGGTAAAGCTTCTTTCTCCTCCAGGCTACTCCCCTACCCCACCCTACTTTGTTCCAGTGCAGTAACTAGCTCTTACTCGCTTTCCTGTGCCAGATGGACATGTCCACCAAAAATGGGCCAGGAAAAGGACAAATATGTAGGGTGAGCCTGTCTTTTGCACTGTCCTGTCCTCCTCCCCAATTTTTCTCTTTCTCATTTTCCTGCATCCCCACGCTAGTTTCCATCCTTTCTTTTCTCCACCCTCAGTCAATCTCAGGGCACATTTCCAAGAACTTGAAATGAGTAAAGGAACCTCACGCTGCAGTTCAGCATGTCTCTCTCTCTCTCTCTCTTATCACAAGAGGATACAACTTGAATCTCTGAGGCCTCTGAGAGGTCCTATATGATGCAGAATCATTGGTGCCAGAACTTTGGAAAGGTCACCCATCCCCAAAGAGGATCTTTTTCCAACGCAGGGAATCACCTTCACAGATGACTGTGTACACTGTAGAGAGGGACCCCTAAGTAGCAAAACAAATACATCTGATTAGAAGAGAATCCTCATTTCATCCAGACAGGCCCCCTGAGTCAATGATGTAGTACAAGATGCTAACCAAAGGAATTAATAATGCCAAGCTCATGGGCCCAATTCCCTCATGTGTCATGTTTCTTTTACTTATGCTCTTACTAGGAACCCCACAATGTATAGAAAAATCACAAACCATCCCTTAATACTTGGAATCATCATAGTCAGAGCATTTTTAAAAAAACATTTCCTCTTTCTTTGCTGCTTGATTGTCAGGAGAAGACTATGCAAGTCTCCATAAACCAGGCAGCTAAATTCCCCACATCTGGGGAATTATGGGAGCCAGTAGGAATTGATGACTTCCCCAACCTGCTCATTTCCTGGTCCAAAGGTTTTCCCATGACAAACATGAGCAAGACTTTCACACTCCATACCAATTCTCCCATTAATCGTTTTTTCTCAAATTTCTGCACTCCCCAGATATTTCCACCTGTTCCATAAGGTATCTTCAAGCATGTGTGCCACACAATCCCAGACCCAAATCACTTGTGTTTCTTTCTCATAACACCAAAGGAGGTTCTCTGCCATTTTCCACCACAGTTCTTGCACCTTACCTCTGTCTCTGCCTCACCTGAAATCATCACAAGAGATTTGGAGTCACCAAAATAGTCCTCTTCTACTTCTTAAGCCCAGACTCTATCAGGGTGTACATACGACCCAGTCCTCACCTATTGTGGAACCACAGGCTGGCATGGAAAGAGTCACTGGGGTGGGAAGCTGGTAAGACTGGACACATCCCTGAAAGTTATTGCCCCATGCTCCTTCACAAACTGCAATACTACCAGAAGAGTCAAGAAACTCTCTGAGTAGTAGAAAATACAATGGACTTGGAACCTACCATTGAGTCATGGTAAGGTAGGCCTAGGCAAGCCACTGAATGCACTGCAGCCTCAGTTTTTCCATCAGTTTCTCCACAACCTTTCCTGACAGTGTGGCTTAAGAGGCTAAGAAAGTACAGGATGTGAAAGCACTGTAAACAGTGACACTGTATGCAAATGAAATGAAGTGTCATCTTCCTCACTCCACAATACTTCTGGGGTGATGGGCCAGAGCTAGTATAAAGGATTGGCTACTAGACTGTTCCACTGACAGTCTAGTGCGTGGACGGACCACCCACTTGAACCTCATCTTAGACATAGAGACACCTAGGCCCAGGGAGTGCAAGTGATATACTCAGGATACCAGAACTAGAGGGTGGTAGAGCAAGGATTAGAACACAAGTTTTCCATCTGCCAGTCCAATTCTCTTTCTACTCCTTTCCACCCCATCCCCACCAGTGTGTCTACACTAAGAAAGCCAGTTTCAAGGAGAAAGCTGTATTGTTCTGAAGCATAAAAACTAAGGTAGAAAAAATGAAAAGGGATTAATGAAATATGCCAAAGAGGGTCTTGTCAAGAAAAAAAAAAATACAGGCAACCATTGCCCTTAAAAAATACTATGGCCCCTTTCTATAATGTTGGGGCTAACCAGGGTATAGCTGGCTTTTACTGTAAGCAGCCAGGCTATTTGGGAGGGATAGGAGAAAAGATTTTACCCCCTGCATGTCTAAATGCATGTAATAATGAGCCTTCATATAATAGGGGTCAATTGTACATTCAGTGAAGGGAGTTATTAAAAGGCACCCTGCCTCTCAACACACGAGGCACTTCCTCAACAGCTTGGCAAAGAAAACTCTCATCTACCCTCAATAATCCCCCAGCCAGACCACAAATTGCTGGCTGACCCATACTTAGTAACACCCCCTGCCATGCTCATGCTGGCTCACAGAATAATCTGGGACCACAGCAGCATGCACTCTCTGGAGTACCTCTTCGGATGGGTTTGCTCTGGGCAGAGCTGAAAATGACCTCTCCAAGGAAGGTTGTCTAGGCCCACTAGAAATTTTGTGGGCAATGTGAGGAGAAAAAGAAAGGGAGGAACTGCCAGACCATGGAGGGCTGCCTATCCCATTGTGACCATGGTGGAAAATGGGGGAAGAGGGGGAGTTTGATTAGAAGAAATTCCTGAAAGCCAGGATTCCCCTCCCCAAAAGGGTTGTTTCAGAGTATTTCTTGTTTTTTTAAAAAGCATATTACTCTCTCCAGGGAACAGTAGCAGGAGAGTGCCTTAGGAGAAGGTGTGAAGGTGGACGACAAAGGCATCTCAGGCTGGTTAGAAACACACAAGTATATGGAGGAAGGGGTGCTAGATGAAGATCTGAGTTGATTTGAAGAAGATAAAGGCCCGAGGGGTCCCTGCCAGCTCCCCCAAAAATGTTGTCTCAGCATACCTCAGACTACTGAAGCTGATTGGTACACCCTATGGCAACACCTACGGTTTCTGAGGGTGTGGGGGCCCCAAGGCCTGAAGGACCCCTACACTTCAAGTTAACCAGCAGCTCCAATGCAAGGCAAAAAGCAGCACAGGTTATTGTGGGGGTGTGCGGGGCGGGGAGGGGGATGATCCTCCATAACCCCTGCTGAGACGTGACCGATGTTAAAGCCAAAAAAAAAAAAGTGACATTTGTTCCCTACTGAGAAGCCACATCTTTCTATCTCCAGCCCTAACCCACATCTACAATCTGAACTGCAATTTGAGCGGATTGGAAAGGCGGGAGCTTTTCGAATTGGGGTATTTAAGAGAAACGAAAACGACAACAAAACAATGGGATAAAGTTCGTGAAGTTCGTTCACTTGGCAATCTGGCGCCTCAAGGTGAGTCCTCGCACAAGTAACTCTTCCCAGTAACAGCCCCAGCTGCCCCCACCCTCACCCCACCGGGGGCGGCTCGCTTTGGGGGTTCCGGAGCACTCCAGAGAGCTCCTCTCCCCTGTCCTCTGCTGCAACTTGGCTTCCAGCAGATCACAGCCTCCTAAAACAAACAAACCCTGGCGGCGGCGGTGGCTGCAGCTCCAGCACAGCTGCGCTCCATGGCGCAAAAGTTTCCTCCACACTTCTTAACGTGCAGGAAATCTCGCCGGCACTTGGGCAGGACTCCGAAGGCAGGGAAAGGCCGAGCCGAACCGACAGCAGCAACGCCCCGCAAACTGAATGGATGTGCGCGCGTCCGGTCGTGGGAAGGGAGGCTGGCTGACCAGAGCCACCAAAGCTTCATCTCCATTCCCACACCGTACCTTAGATCTGCAACCTGCCCCGGATGGAGGGGCCAGCGCTGACAAGGGAGCTGCCAAGCCGCGCGATGCCTGTCCCTTCAACCCCTCACTGTCCCGCAGGGGCCTCCAAGGAGAAACCCCCAACAGCCGCCACTTCCTCCAGTCCTAACTGTGGGGAGTAGCCGCCCCGACGTGGAGGAGCAAGGGCTGCCTCAGCACCCTCCCAAGTGTGTCTGTGCTCAAAGTTGTAGCCCGGAGCCAGCCGTGCTCTAATCCTGTGCTCCAGCCACCCTTAAGGGGTGTCTGCGCGTGGGCTGGTGACAAGACCCCTCCGTGCTGCTCATGCTCTTCAGAGGGGCTTTCACCCCCACCCCTGGCCAAATTTCAAAGTTGCTCTGAGGGCCCAGTCCGGCAGCAGCCTGCGCACCCGCTTGCCATTCAAAGTTGGGCACCGCTAGGACAGAGCCGCCAGTTCTTACCTTAGACACTGTGAGCGGCTCACAGTGTTCCAGACCCCCCTTAAGGGTGAAGCCCCAAGGCGCCCCCCCTTGCAGCTGCACAGGGACGTACTGGAAGGACCCAGGCCGGTTCTCCATCCTCGGTTGGGTTCAGGCGCCGCCGGGCTCCTTTTCCGCGGGGGCTACGTTGCCTCCGCCCCCAGCAGCTCCGCCACCATCGCCCTGCAGCGCTACGCCACCCCGCACCGCCCTGCTCCGCCTACTCTCCCGGCTGGAGACGCTCGGGCAGCGAGCGAGCGCAAGGAGGAAATGACACGGAGCTGGAGAAAGGGGGAGAGAGGGGGAGAAAGGAGAAGGAAAAAAAGAAAAAGAAAAAAAGAAAAGAAAAGAAAGAAGGAAAGGCGGAGGGATAGCTCATAATGGACAAGAAAATGGAGCAATGGGGAGGGGCAGTGACTGGGACGTCGCCTATAGGATCGTTGGGGAGTGGGAGCGAGGCGAGGCCTCACATCAATTGTTACATTGTTTCATTCAAGCAGGCCCTCTCTTTGGTCCTCCTGTTTACTGCTGGGTTCCCCGCCCCTCCAGCCAGCAGAGGCGAGGGGAGGTGAAAGTCAGTGTGGATGGCCCGGTTGGCCGAGTGGGCTGAAACGCTGGTTTCCTGATTAGCGCGTTCATGTTTTCCTGACTGACTTTTTCTTCTAAAGGTCCCGAGAATCGGGTCCTGGGAGGGTTACAAGGCTGCTAATTTGTGGACCTTGCCTAGAGGGGTGGAAAGTAAAGTAAGCAGGCCAGCGAACACAGTGGGGCTGTGTGTATAGGCAACTCTGTGTACGCGCTAGGTGTAGGTGTGTGGGGTCATTATAAAACGTTGCTTCGGAGCATAGTTTAAATAAAGAAGCACTTTGAGGATGCCCCCTGCCCAGGCTCAGCCGTACCCAGGCTCAGCGCTGGCCTCTATGGGTAGCACTGTGCCTGTGTATGTTCCAGCCACCTGGAGTTCCCCGCACGGCCTTGCACTTGCCCCACTGAGTTGACTGAGCCAGGAATCAGCACTTCATGACTAGCGGTATTGACTGTAAAGAAATCTATCGGAACAGCATTCATTAATAAGCTGGCCAATTCATATGTTGTACCTTTGGAAAGAATCAGCTTTTAGACAAGAGTCCAGAACATCTCTGCTCATCTGTTCATGCTGAGCCTGTAGTTTCTGAACTGAACGTTCAGAATAGACCAAACAAAAACCCACAATAATAGTCCTGAAAAGTGAATTTGTTCCCAAATCTTACGCTGATTTCTCAGCCTTATCCTGGGCAGGTAATCCTCCCTCTCTGAGATGTTTTCACTGGAGCCACATGTGGGCAGTGAGTTTTTAAAGGGCCTCACACTCGCAGGGAAAGTGTTGACAACTCAGTTGTGACTCAACGGGACGTTCCCACTCTCTCTTGCCTGTTCAGTCTCTTCACTAGTTCTTGTGCAGCTTCTTCCTCACTGCCAAAAAACACACTGTTGCTCCTTCCTTCCACAGCTAGCTCTCTGTAGTCAAGGTTTCCACTCTTGGCTTCCATTTCCTCACCTGTCACTCCCTCTTCAACACACTGAGGACTGCCATGTGCCCCAGCAGGCCCCTGAAACTTCCATCACAGGAAACTGCCTCTGCCTCATCAACCCTTTCTTCTCAGCCGCCTGGGCTGTCTGCATTACATGACGCTGACCTGACTTTTCTTTTTTTTTTTCAAAAGATGACCGGTAAGGGGATCTTAACCCTTGGCTTGGTGTTGTCAGCACCACGCTCAGCCAGTGAGCCAACCAGCCATCCCTATATAGGATCCGAACCCGTGGCCTTGGTGTTATCAGCACCACACTCTCCCAAGTGAGCCACGGGCCGGCCCTCTGACTTTTCTTTAATAAAATGGCAGTTTGGGTGTTTATAGACTGTCTTTTCAAAGACGATTCACCTAGGAAATGATCCTCCATCCTTTAGACTTTTAGGCCTACAAAGGCCTTCTTAACCATGTTTATTGTTTTGCATTTTTCCCTATCAGAAAGCAGAAAATTTGAGAAAATGGCATCTCAACTTGTAGAGTCTTAATTGTGTGTCAGCCTATGGTATACCATTCATTTGCTCTATCCCACCTTGAAACAGAGCCTTATTTTTTTTTTCTTTTTGGGGTAGATCTCTATGATTCTCACTTGGTAGAACACAGCATGCTCCAGTCCGAGCATATTGAAATCTGTAAAGTTCAGTTCACAGGATATGTAGTCATCACTCAAGGACTACTAGAATTATGTGTCTAGACGAGAGGAAAGAGATTTGGAAACAGGAGACACACATCTGAGGCCCGGCCTTGTCACTTACTAAATAGGTGACCTTGGGCAAATCAGTGAGCTAACTCATTTCGGTCTCATTTTCTTCATCCGTAAACTTCAGCTAATGAGCTCTGACTTTCCTACCTCGCAGGCCTGTTGAAAGACTGAGATGAAATAATACATATGAAAACACTTTGGCAGGAAAAAGTAAAAATCCACACAACCTTATAATGAAAGCAAGCACTGAGCTAGCCTTTAACCAACGTATTTTCATTCCAAGCCTTACTCCACAATGATGTCTTGGTGCTCTCTTCAGTTTATCCTTTTCACCATTACAACAGAAGAATGTAAATTATCTAGTCCCTTGTGCAAACAGTACATAAATAGTAGACATTTTGAACATAGGATAGCTAGATAATCTTGCTTCCTTACTGATAAAAATCACTGCTGCTAGCAGGCATCTCATTCTTTCCTGCAAGTACAGTTAGTACATGATGGCATAGTGGAAAGGGTACTGGGTAGAATTTGAGATGCCTGGATTCTAAGTTGGTTCTACCATTAATTAGCTGTGTGATATTAAGCAGGTCATTCTCTCTCTCTCTCTGTAAATTGAAGGGGTTAAGCTACTTGATTCTTAAGTTTCTATACGGCTTGCAAATTCTGTGACTACTTCCTGGCAAGTGCCTAAACATAGTTTATGTGCAAATAAAGGCTTGATGATGGAGATGAACCAAGTGAAAATAAAGCAGTGTCTCCATTCCTACAGTCTAGGGGTGTACTTCTGTGTGTTTGTGCACACGCACATTAGAGGGACGATTAACTCATTCTAAAGTATGTTGAATTGCCTGTATGAAAAAGGTAGAAAGTCCAGTAGGCAGGTAGAAATATCAAGAGGTGGTGATTGATAAGATACATTTAAATCATAATTGAGCCATTTGGAGTACATAATCTTACCTAGGGAGATCAGAATGAGAAGAAAAGGGGGATAGAGGAGGAATCCTGTATTATGCTAATATTTAAAGTAATATGATAATATTTAAAAATCAAGGATAACAAAGGTTCTAAAAAGGAGCAGGCAAAGGAGGTGGGCAAAAGACCAATCAGCAGAAACAGGGAGAGAGAAATTAAAACCAGGCTGGGTACTTCTACCTCATTGAAAAAATCTTTTTAAGAATCTTTTCTTCATGGGCTGGCCCGGTGGCGCACTGCTACAGTGCGCTGCTTGGGAGCGTGGCAGCGCTCCCGCCGAGGGTTCGGATCCCACATACAGACCGGTTCCCGCTCACTGGCTGAGCGAGGTGCGGGTG